CGACCTCCTGTACACCAGGCGAGATAGTCAACATCTCCTAGCCACCGTGATGATGATGAAGAGAGAGACACGCAAACTCCAAATATACAGCAGCAGGTGTCAGGGTCGGGTCGAACCCACGACCTCCTGTACACCAGGCGAGATAGTCAACATCTCCTAGCCACCGTGATGATGATGAGAGAGAGAGACACGCAAACTCCAAATATACAGCAGCAGGTGTCAGGGTCGGGTCGAACCCACGACCTCCTGTACACCAGGCGAGATAGTCAACATCTCCTAGCCACCGTGATGATGATGAGAGAGAGAGACACGCAAACTCCAAATCTACAGCAGGTGTCAGGGTCGGGTCGAACCCACGACTTCCTGTATACCAGGCGAGATAGTCAACATCTCCAGCCACCTGATGATGATGAGAGAGAGAGACACGCAAACTCCAATATACAGCAGCAGGTGTCAGGGTCGGGTCGAACCCACGACCTCCTGTACACCAGGCGAGATAGTCAACATCTCCTAGCCACCGTGATGATGATGATGAGAGAGAGAGACACGCAAACTCCAAATATACAGCAGCAGGTGTCAGGGTCGGGTCGAACCCACGACCTCCTGTACACCAGGCGAGATAGTCAACATCTCCTAGCCACCGTGATGATGATGATGAGAGAGAGAGACACGAAAACTCCAAATATACAGCAGCAGGTGTCAGGGTCGGGTCGAACCCACGACCTCCTGTACACCAGGCGAGATAGTCAACATCTCCTAGCCACCGTGATGATGATGAGAGAGAGAGACACGCAAACTCCAAATATACAGCAGCAGGCGTCAGGGTCGGGTCGAACCCACGACTTCCTGTATACCAGGCGAGGTAGTTAACATCTCGACGAGCGAGGAACGCCACTGACTACCTGCCAGTGCCGTGAAGCCACGACTCGTGACGTCCGGTTCCGAGTAATGTTGACAGGCACCATGGTTTCGATTTAAAGCTTTCGTGACTGCAGGGATTCATCTTCTTGGTTCTTTCGGTAAAGTCACGTAGAAGAGAAATAATAAAATAATAAAAATAAAACGAAATCAAATAATTTCATGATCAAAAATTTACGTGACTTTACCGAAAGAACCAAGAAGAGGCACCGCGGTGGCTAGGAGATGTTAACTACCTCGCCTGATGTACATGAGGTCGTGGGTTTAATCCCGATCGCTGACGCCTGCTGCTGTATAATTGGAGTTTGCGGTTTCTCTCTCTCCGCGTGGTCGTCAAAATTTTTTTCCGGGTCCTCCGGTTTTTCCATTCACGGTTTATCCACGTGCGCTTTAGAGTCATGCGGCTGCTCCAAATGTCTCCACGCGATGACGATGAGCCACTTCGTTGAGCTATCATTTGCGACGGCCAGGTGGTAGCTCTTGCAAAAGAACTACACGGCTCAGTGGGACCTTACACCGGGCAAAATATAAAAAAAAAGAGTAGAAGCATCTTGAAATCGAGACCCGTTTTACCTTCTCCATCGGCGCCGACGCCATCGATATATTCTCGCGTTCCGTTCGTCCGTGGGCTGGCCGCTGCGCTGGATGCTCTGTCGCGTGATGCCCTATCGATGATGATGATGATGACGATGGTGACGACGACGATGACGACGACGACGACGATGACGACGACGACGATGACAACAATGACGATGACAACGATGATGACGACGATGACAATGACAACAATGACGATGATGACGACAACAATGACGATGACAACGATGATGACGACGATGACAATGACAACAATGACGATGATGACGACAACAATGACGATGACAACGATGATGACGACGATGACCATGACAACAATGACGATGATGACGACAACAATGACGATGACAACGATGATGACGACGATGACAATGACAACAATGACGATGATGACGACAACAATGACGATGACAACGATGATGACGACGATGACAATGACAACAATGACGATGATGACGACACAATGACGATGACAACCGATGATGACGACGATGACAATGACAACAATGACGATGATGACGACAACAATGACGATGACAACGATGATGACGACGATGACAATGACAACAATGACGATGATGGACGACAACAATGACGATGACACGATGATGACGACGATGACAATGACAACAATGACCGATGATGACGACAACAATGACGATGACAACGATGATGACGACGATGACACTGACAACAATGACGATGATGACGACAACAATGACGATGACAACGATGATGACGACGATGACAATGACAACAATGACGATGATGACGACAACAATGACGATGACAACGATGATGACGACGATGACAATGACAACAATGACGATGATGACGACAACAATGACGATGACAACGATGATGACGACGATGACAATGACAACAATGACGATGATGACGACAACAATGACGATGACAACGATGATGACGACGATGACAATGACAACAATGACGATGATGACGACAACAATGACGATGACAACGATGATGACGACGATGACAATGACAACAATGACGATGACGACGATGCCGACGACGATGACGATGACAACAATGACGATGATGACGACGACGATAATGACGATGATGACGACGGTGACGACGATGATGACGACGATGATGACGACGATGATGACGATGATGATGGTGGCAACGATTGTCTTAATTACGGTAACAACCGCCGTTTGCCATATGTAGAAGAAAAAAATAACAACGGGGAAAACTAAAATCCAGTGTCACTGTATGGGAGTGGTTTTTTGATTATTTTTTTTTACATGTGCATTACTGTGTGGGGAGGTTTGAAGGTATTGTCATAAACATAATTATATATTAAAAACACACACACAAAAAACATGTGAACAGTATATATATATAGCTATACGTACATGTGTACTTTACATAAATCAAATAATGAACTACGTTTACAATGGGTAGGTTGGGGAGACTTTTAACGTTTCACAATCTCTAATGAGGTAACTATTGTGCTTTCGTGGCTTGTTTGATTGGTACTTTTCCTGGCAAACGCCAAGCAACGCGTGGGGGCGGGGGGGGGATTTTGCGCTCAATTTTTGTAAGACAAACACAAAAACACACCAACATCTGCCATAATAACACCGTTTGTTCCCCCATTTTTTTCCCAACTCGGACAGAAATCGGCCCCCTTTTCTTTCGGTGTTTGATTCTTGTCTCTCGCTCTCTCAAAGTTAAGGTTCGTGTGTGTTTGGTTTGGGTTTGGGCGGTTTGGTTTTTTTGTAAGTTTGCGGAACGTGTTCAAATCAAAGCGGATCTTCGGTTTGTTTTTTTGAAAGTTCGTGGAACGTGTTTGAATCAAGTTGGATCTCTGGTTTTTTGAACGTTTGTGAAACGTGTTCTAATCAAATCGGATCTCCGCGAAGCTCCTAAATCGGATCTGGAGCTGACGTTAAAAAAAGAGAAATCCTCCGACCGGACGATTACTTCAGATTAAAAATGTGAATCAAAGAAACAACAAAAACCGTGTTAAGTATTGACGCTCGTTTTGATCCGGTCTCTTCCCCATGTGTTCTCGAGGCGTGCCCGTTGTGCAATGTCGTTCTGCTCCATGTCCGACGTTTCTTCACACGTGCCGGGGGGCCTTCGTCAGGAACTGAGTCGAGCAAACATTGATGTCTTCTTTTGCCCCCCGATTGTAAAGTTTCACCAGCTGCTGTTGCTGCTACTGGCATTGCCAGTTCCTAAACGCGCACAGCGGCCATCGGGCAATATTTGGAGGCATTTTTTTTATTATAGCTAGGAAGAAATGCTCCCCGGCACGCGGCACGAAACGTCGGACATCGTGCCGAACCAACGCGCATCGCCGAGAGAGAAAAAAGACCGTGGGGGCAGCGATGGAAACGGACGTGACGTGACCCCGTGCTCTGCATTTACAATTGTGTGTTAAGTCGAAAAAACAACAAATGCAACTTTATGATGTTTTTCTTTTTCTGCTTGTGCTGGCAAGACTCGCTGCTGTCGGAACGCAGGAGTCTTAAAAGCGTGTTCTGCCATCGGAATTTTTTTATTCGAAAGTGCTAAAATCTTCGGTGGGTTTGTGTTGTTGTTGCGAGGTGTTTGAATGCAATTTACCTCGATGGGTTGAACGCCACTGGCAATGTCCTACTGAGCCCTAAACGCCGCTCTGCCAATTTCTCTTCAGGCGGTTTTCGTCAGACCAAAATGGGATTTCACCCACCCACCCACCCCCTTTGTGAATGTTTTTTTTTCTTATCAAAAGACCCACAACAAAACCCTGCAGGACTCGTGATTCAAATGTCTTACGCAGCCGGCAAACAAGAAACACTTTTTTTTTTCAGTCGAAATTATATCGGTTTACCGTTTACCCTGGGATATGTGTTTTCATGCCATGTTACCACGAGTTGTATTCCTTTGTAATCATTTTTACCATCGATTTTATTACTTTCTCTCTTCCCCCCCCCCCCCCCCCCATTGTTGAACACGACTTTTCGAAATGTATTTTCCCCAACTTTTGTGAATAACTTCCCGCTCGGAAGAACCCCAAACAATCCAAACGATCGCCAACCCATCGGTCATCCCTGGCCAGTGCGCTCTGCATCATCCTGGCTAGAGAAAGGTGGGTTGCCCGCTTGAGAGCGGAAGGGGTACGAGGGGGGGTCCCCCTTTAGTTTTAGACTGCCGCAAGGCATCAACGACCGCCCCCCCTGCCACCCCCCCAGCCCCGGGTAGATAACGTGAGATGAGATGAGATGCGCGCGCTTTCAGGGGTGGCCCCTCTTGGATTTGCCGAGGCATTTCAAGTGCCATACATGAATAGCGGAATGCGCAAATCCCCCGATCGTGTGAAAGTTGAGCGTTGCAAAAGCAAAACAACAAAAAAAATCCTCTTTGGGCCTACCTTGGGGAATAAAGGCGCGTTGAGCTCTTTGTGTCTTTGTTAACTAACAAAAAATAACTAAACATAAAAAATACAAAGGTGTTATTTTGTCATATAGGCTTCTTAAGAGACGGGTAAATAACCAGCACCGGTACCCCGCCCCAATCGGCGTTCATAATCATTTACCAGCAGACTAGTTCCTCTATTTCTTCAGGCCGTCGAGTCAGCCTCTCGTCTTTTGGCAGACCAGAGGGGGCTCTATGGAGAGCAAGTAAAGACTTGCACATACGCAGGCGCGTGGATACTGGGATTCTAATAATAATCGCGGTGATATGGTTGGTCGCAGAAAATGACTGCCATAGGACGGGGAGCTGGGGTGAGAAATTAAGAAGTTAGAGGAAGACTCGAGTTGGTAGAAATCACGGAGAAGATGAGAGAGAAATAGAGAAAGAGAGGCTCTGGGTGTGGTTCGGTCGTGTGGAAAGACGACAGGACAATGATGCGGGTGAGAAGGTGGCGAGTGATGCGAGTGGAACGAGAGAAGTGATGATGAAGGCAGAACAATTCTAGATTTGAAGCTTTCGTGACTGCAAGGATTCGTACTCTTAGTTCTTTCGGTAAAGTCACGTAGGTAAGAAATGAAATTAAAATTAATAAAAAAATGTAAAAAATCACGACGTTTCGGAGGCAACACAAGCTTCCGTCTTCAGGTGAAACTGTCGCAGCAAAAAATCTCCCCCACTTGATACAGATTTTTTTTGCTGTGACAATTTCACCTGAAGACGGAAGCTTGTGTTGCCTCCGAAACGTCGTGATTTTATTGTTTTTATTTTTATTAATTTTAATTTCACTTTTTTACCTACGTGGTGACTTTACCGAAAGAACTAAGAGTACAAGGCAGAAGAAGAGGAGATATGGAGCAGGCCAGGGCAGCGCGAGGGAAGTTGGCAAGGACAGGGTGACACCCTCACACGTGAGTGGCACAAACGCGTGGAAGAAGAAGATTCGAAACGTTAACATTGCAGACAATCAAATGCCCTCTGTTGCGGGGCAGTGGCTGGGAGGATGGAGGCGCAGTATTCCCACATTGTTCGCCAAGGATTCATCTTCTGCAGACGCTCGTGATTAGGGAAGTTCGTGGATGATGAGAACCTATCCTTTAAATGAATTCGTGTTTAAGGTAAATACGTCAATAAGCTATTAAGTTCACGAAGATGATCGTAACACACAAAAAATTGTTGTAATAAACAAAGTGAAATATTAAATGATGAAATAATTGTTTATAATTTTACTTACCTTAAATTATGATGCTATGCATCAACACTTTATCTCTCATCGCTTTATCTCTCACCACTTTATCACTCATCACTTTATCTCTCATCGCCTTTTCTCTCATCACTTTATCTCTCATCACTTTATCTCTCATCGCTTTATCTCTCATCGCTTTATCTCTCACCACTTTATCTCTCATCGCTTTATCGCTCACCGCTTTATCTCTCATCACTTTATCTCTCATCACTTTATCTCTCATCACTCTATCTCTCATCACTTATCTCTCAACGCTTTATCTCTCATCACTTACCTCTCATCACTTTATCTCTCATTGCTTTATCTCTCATCGCTTTATCTCTCATCGCTTTATCTCTCATCGCCTTTTCTCTCATCACTTTATCTCTCATCACTTTATCTCTCATCGCTTTATCTCTCACCACTTTATCACTCATCACTTTATCTCTCATCGCCTTTTCTCTCATCACTTTATCTCTCATCACTTTATCTCTCATCGCTTTATCTCTCATCGCTTTATCTCTCATCACTTTATCTCTCATCACTTTATCTCTCACCACTTTATCTCTTATCACTTTATCTCTCATCACTTTATCTCTCATCGCTTTAT